GTAACAAGTCTGTAAGTTCTATTTTTGTTTAAACTAGTTTGGGCTGAGTTTTCTGCCACTTGCACCTGAAAGGTATTTGAATGACACCAGAAAGAAAAAATAGAGCGTATCCATTTCTCACCAAGCAGAGGAAACGGCTATGAGCAACATAAAGGTTGTCTTTCTGGGTGTGTCTCTGGACAGGAGCATACACATATATGTATGTTCTAACTAAAATGAGACTGTACAATGTACACCATTTTTGTAACCTATTTTTTCCTCACTGCATCACAGACATGTTTCCATACCACCAAATACAGATCCTACAGTATTGTCTCTTTAGCCTATGAGATTACCATTGTCTGGCAGGGCTAATTTATTTAACCATTGCTTGCTCATCAATAATTGGGTAACTTCTAATCTATAACTGTCATCAAGAAAGGTGCAGTGAGGCCCTCCCTGGTGGCGCAGTGGGTTAAAGCACCACACTAAGAAGCTAAAAGCCACTTCTGCATGAGTTCGATTCCCGCCTGCCCGGGAGGTGACCACATGGTGGGGCAGACCTCTCCTGACCCTCCCGCTGCTCCCCTCAGCAGTGTACTTCGTCGATCTGCCTGTTCTGCTCCCCACTCTGTCCCTGGTGAAGCCTCTCACCCTCACATCTCTGGCCTGTACTCCAGTTCTGTGTGAATAATAAATAAATCTTTAAAAAAAAAAAAAAAGAAAGGTGCAGTGAACTTATAAAATACATATGTTAGCTCTTGCTAGACTGTTTATGAGTAAGATCCCATAATTCCAAGAGTTAGACTTTGCAAGTGTAAGTTTCTCCATCTGAGATTTAAAGGTTCTCTCAGTATCCTTAAATCTATCTTTCCAGGCAGGTTTAGTGATTGTGAAAAAAAAAAAGAAGCAGCAAATTCCACACCAGGAGGTGTCACCTCAGTCATAGTGATAATAGCTTCCACCAAGTGATACAGTCCTGGGATTGTCCTAGCGCTTTAACCCTTTGAAGCCCCACAACTACCCTCTGATGCTATTCTTATTTCTGTCTCACAGAAGGGAAAAATCAGACTCAGAGAAGGCAAGTGACTTCTCTGAAGTCACACAGCCAAGAAGTGATGGGGCTGAGGTGTGACCTAGATTCAGCAATTCCCCAGGCCATGCCTTATCCAGACTTATTGGGGTAGACAGCGGGGGAGAACTGCCCTGGTCAGGACTGGAAAAGTTCCCAAACTCCCTGTGCCTCCCAGCCTCTACTAAGGAAGACTAACACTAAGGAAAGACTCCAAACCCAGAAAAGCAAGAAGATGACAACAATCTCCTATGCCCCCACATCCACTATGAACAATTTCAGAAAAACACGTAGTTCTTACAAAAATGATATCATGCCACCCATGCTGTTTTATAACCTCTTTTTTTTTTTTTTTACAGTTCTACAACACACTGTGAAGCTTTTTTTCTGCAATAGGAAATTTATATCCACGGCCCCATTTCTGAGAGCTGCAGCAGGTGCCACTGTATGGCTGCAGGAAGTGGATTTAACTCATCCCCTGGTAATGGATAAATAGGCTGTTCCCAATTGTCCTACCAACAGTGTTACAACGAATACGCTCCAGCATGTCTGGATCCATGTCATCCTTCAGGTCCCAGCTCACATGCCACCTCCTCAGAGGTCTTTTACCATTCTGTGGCATGTAGGTCCCTGGCCCGGTTAACATTAATAAGGTCATCATGGTATTTCCTTCATTGCATTGATGGAGTTTCTGCTTATTTTCTGTATTTGTTTGGGTGATTATATAATTGCACACTCAAGGCTGTGTGCTTTGTGAGGGCCACAGACTAGCAGGAACTAGCACTCAACAAATGTCCTGGGAATGCAGGAATGTCTTTGGGGCCATGCCTGTCTAAAGAGAAGTGACCCTACAGAGGAGCCTTCTGTGATGCCACCCACTACACTGTGTCCCCAGAGACAGTTCAGGAACCCACAGATCTGCCCCAGGGCTCCAGTTCAGCCATGGCCTACTCTGGCTTTTCATGTCATATACATGTCTAGCCCAGACCCCAGCACTGAGCAGCACCTGCTGCCCAGGATACAGGGCAGTGGAGATTGGCAGAGCATCTCCAGATTACCAGTCACTGACTGTGTGACCTTGGGACACTCAGTTCCCCTCATCTGTAAAATGGGGCCAGTACTACTAATTTCAAGTGCTGTCTGAGGACTGAGTGTGATAATGGATGTGCTCAGCATCCATGGAAATGGCAGTGTGACCCCATGGCCAGTTAGTCCAGAAGTCGGGTCTGACACTATCTTACCTGCATGACCTCTTTTCACTTGGAATGATTCCTGAGCATGCCCTGGTCTCTTTCCCTGGACTGACTCTAGGGACACCCCCTCCCTATCCTTTGTCACTTGTTAAGTGGCTAAATGTTCTGCTTGGACCCCTGTCAGGCTCCTGGGCACCTCGTCTGCTACATATGGTCACAGACACCGGCTTGGAATCCCAGGCCTTAATAAAGATGCCAGATAGGAGGAAGTCCCTGCCCTCCTGGCCCAGTCCTCAAGCACAGGGTAGCGATGCTGGCCTGAGTCAGTCTGTCTACTTTCTCAACCACCCCCTTCCCCCGCCACAACTGAGCACCCTTGACTACATGAAAAGTAACTTACTCTCTAAGCCTCACTGTCTTCCTTTGTAAAAATGGGTAGAAGAGGGCCTCTCTGGTGGCCTAGGGGTTAAGTCTCAGTGCCATCACTGCAATGGCCCATCCACAATGGCCAATACTGTAAAAAATACATTAAAAAAAAAACTGGTAGAAGAGAATCCATGAGGGTTCAGTGAGGTAAGGTAAAATGCTTAGCAAGGAGGCTGGAATTTAGTAATGCTCAGTAAACATGAACTATAATAGTTATAAATGCTATTCAGTCTTTTTACTATGAAATATAATACACAGAAAACCCAAAAATGTTTACTGCAAAAAATTATTACACAGGTAATCCTTTCCCAGGCTTTTATGATGCTGTTGCTATTATTAATAATAGCAAGCAAATAGAAGTGAGTGTGTGGCTACTCTGTCCTGACCCAGCCAGGCTTCTGGACCTCTGGCTATCTCTAACTTGGGCACAGAGACACAACATCTGATTTCCTGACTTTGACTGTGGCTGTTCTTTAAATAACCAGCTTGTTCGCAAAATAGCAGCAGTAACACCTCCCTCGCTGCAGCCCGGGGCCTCCATCTTTCGGCGCAGTGCTGACGGCTGCTCTACCAGCTCGTGCCAAGGAATCCCGTTCTCTGTCACTGGGCCACACGTGCCAACTAGTCTGTGTTCTTAGTGGCTACAATCTGCCCCTCTCACTTCTGGGGGGCAGAAGTGGACGCCGGATGAGTCATTTTCCGGGCATTTTCAAGCCTTCTCCTCGATCCAAGCCTCAGTCTCCCCCTTGAACACCCTAAGGAGCATCAGGAGTTTAACTGAGATGATGAAGACAACGAAATATTTAGTGTAAAGCCGGGCACACAGTAACTGCTCAAGAAATACTCACAGGTTACTCAGTTGCTCTTGCTACGTATTTGTCCCTGGGTTGGACACGCAGGCTGGTGGGCATCTCGGGCATGACCATGGGTGTTTGCAAATGATTAGCGCTTCATACACAGTTCTCATCTTATCCTGAGATGGCTTCTCAGCCACATACAACAGCTGGCCTGTGGTTGCTACAATAGGCCAGGGGCCAGATCAGGGGAGCTGGGCGGGGGGCAGTTAATTAGTAGGGTCCTTCCCACAGTTATTAATAACCAGGCTGGCACTGCATGAGTGTGCGACTCCTTGTTCTTGAAGAAGCCCTGACACATATATTATCTACAGCAAACTTCACAGGTTTGTTATTATCTTATGATATTAGCATATTATACATATTTACAAGTCTTTCCTTTCTTATAAGCCTCCCATCAGGGGGGCTGGGCAACTGTTGGGAGACGAGAGAATTGAGGTGAGAGGGCTAACAGCCTTGCTCAGGCCTGAGCTGACCACAAGCTGTGAGTTCAGCAGGGACCAACAGCCAGTATGGGTGGAGGAGGTGAGGGGGTCTTTTTTCTCCCCACTCCACTTTCCTTCTGCAACTATTTACCATGTATCCAGCTACTGACTGCCAGGTGGGAAATGAAGTAGCTGTCTCCTCCCCACTCCCCCTTTGGGATGCTGAGGCAGATGAGCAGACAGACTGTAAAACAATGATTCCATGCCTGCGTGGTGGTGGGGTGACTCTGGGCAAGCTCTTTGAGCCCAGTTGGGCCTCTGTTTCCTCATGTTTGAGATTTGAGACAATGAGCTGCATGGTGAGGGTGAGGTGCTGTGGACAGCACCGAGTCAGGGAATGCTGTTGGGATCATTGTGGAGACAGACCACGGGCCCAGCTTGGGCTGTTGTGGGTGTGGGCGGGCTGCGGCGGTCTCAGGGGACAGTCGGAAATGCTGCTGGGCAACTGCACCTCATCCCGTGTTGGGGACAGGTAAGGTGTGGACTGGAAGAAGATGGGTGGAATAGGTGGGAGGTGCAGGAACAACAGAGGTCCCCAAGATTCAGGAACTCTGGTGATCTCCTTCTGGTCCCCTGGGCTGATTTCTGGCTTGTTGGCTTCCAGCATGGCTCACTGTTCCCCTTTCCTTCCTAAGCCTGTGTTAGCAATTGCCTTGGCCTCTTGGGTGAGGCAAGAACTGGCACTGGAGAAATACAGAGCTGGGCTGGTTGTGCATGCCCAGGTAGCTGGCTGCCCCTCTGAGGTTGTTTCTTCTGGAAAATAGGTACATCGTGGTGCTCACCTCCTGGGCTGGTAGGAGGACTGGATAAGACAAGCAGTTAAACTATAAATTGAGCCCAAGCATATTAAAAAAACTCACCGTGGTCCCTCTGCTAGCACGTGGGTGCTGCAGGGTAGGAAGGCTGGGCATTTCCCAACTGTGCCAAGCACGGGTGGGCGGGTGAGCAGCCCTGATTACGTGTGTACAGGCTTGCGGACGCAATTACTTACCAACCAGGAAGCTGTGTGCAGAGGGAAAATGGGAACCACTCGGGAACCAGCAGGTGAAATCTTGGGAGGGGGCGCTGGACCGAGAGCTGGCACACACATCCCTCCGGGCACTTGATCAGAGGTGTTGGCAGGAAGCAGAGTGAGACAAGGCCCCTTCAGCACCTGGAGTGACCAGGTCCTGGTCACACACAGAGCCACCAGGCACCTGGCAGAGGGAGAGATACTGGTGCCTGCAAGAATGGGTGAGAATATCAATTAGGAGGTAACCAGGATAATCCCTCTACCCTGAGGCCCTTGGACTTGCTCTGGGGAGAAGGACACACCACGGAGCAATCGTCATAGAAACCCAAGTGTTTGTACAACACTACATCTTCCAAAGTACTCTGGCATCTCGTGTGGGCCCCCACATTGTTTTACAGAGGCATATTTGCATGTCATGCATATTTACGATGCCTTTTCCACCACCCACAGAATCCCCACAGCAGCCGGGTAGCTGGGGTTCCTAAGGCGCTGATCTGTGCTGCCTTGTTTCTCCTTCCTTTTACCTGGTTGGGGCTGGAGTCACATAGTCTTGGGTCAAATACCAGCTTAGCCCCTCACTTGCTGGACTACAAGGGGCAGGCAGCTGTCCCTTTCCGACTCAGTTTTATTACTTGTCACATGGGAATGAGTGTCCCTTTGAGGATTGAGAAGGTAATGCAGGTAGACTAGCTGGCAGAGTCCGTGACTACTACAGACTCTGCAAAGAGCTTTGCCTTGTCCCCTGCATGCAGAGCAGGAGGCCCTACATGCATCACCACTGCCTCCACCTCCCACATAGCACGTCTTGTGTGCGAGGCAAAGGGAGCCAGGTGTCTCTTTCCACCCACCTCTCCTGAGCAGGTGCCACTTCTGCTTGGATGTTTAAATCAGCAGGAACTAGGCCCTCCTAAGAGAAGAAAAGGGCCCCCTCTACTCAACACTCCCCCCACCCCCCAGAAGCCTCTTGGCTGCCATGGAGGCCTCAGAGAATACCTCCCCCCACAACCGCCACCCTCTCAGTCTCCGGGTGAAGTAGCTGAGACACAGAAGGACGCAAGCTGATGTAAGACAAAGCAGTCAAGCGTCTGGACTGGGACTTGAATTCAGGCTTTCCATCAAGGGTCAGTCTTCCATGGGGACAAGGAGGAAGGGGCAGTTGGTGATGTGTGGGTGGGTGAGAATTCACATACACTTCATTGTGTGGGGGTGCTGGAAAGCCCTCACGATATTTCCAAAGGGCTCGAGCAAAACCCTACCTCCCTGTGTTAGTACCTTCTCTGTGCCAAGTCCATAACAGGCTTTGCCTTATTTCTTTCTCTCCACAGTCTGATAACATTATCCCTGTTTTCCAGAAGGAGAAACTGAGGCTTAGAGAACTCCAGTAATTGCCCACATAAACACATACTGAGAAAGAGGCACAGCCTGGAACCCAGGCATCTCATGCTGAGACCCAGCCCTTAATTCTGCTGCTGCCCTTGCCTTGGCTCTCTCAGTGGAAAAATCACCCACTAAGACAAAACAGGCTAGCCGCCTGCATGGAAAGTGTTTAAGTAGCAAGAAAAGAAAATATCAAACTCCAAGAAATTCTAGATTAGTGGATGCAAATTCTTAAAGATGCATAAAAGATTTCAAGATGCACCATGGGGTGTGAAAATTGTCAGTGCATGAAAAATTAGTGCTTGGGGGGATGTGTCCCTGGCCATGCTGTCACTTTTAGCCCAAATCTACCTGATTTTCAATCCAAGGCTGAAGGAATAGGGGAGATAGCAGAGGCCCAATGCAGGACAGTGGGGCAGCAGCGCCAACATGGGCAGGGGGCAGTGACCCACCGTGCAGTCCCTGCCACTTTCAAGCTCAAGCCAGTCTCCTCCCTGTTTCTTTATGTGTGGGAGAAGCACACAGACAAGCTCTCAGGCCCCTGCAGGCTCTGATGCCGTTTAAGATTCTGGAACTTTCAACAACTATAAAACTTGAGAACATTATGTTAAGTAAAAGAAGCCCAGTCACAAAAGACCACATAGTATATGATTTCACTTACATAAAATGTCCAGAATAGGTAACTGTTCTAGGAAAGAAAGTAGATGCATCGTTGCCAGTGGGGAGACTGGGAAGGGCTGACAGCTGAGGGGTACAAGGTTTCTTTTGGTAGATGATGAAAATGTCCTAAGATGGATGTTGGTGATGAATGCCCAGTTCTGTGAAAACACTAAAAGCCATTGAACAGTATACTTTAAATGGGTAAATTGTATGATGTGTGAATGCTATGTCAAAGCCATTACAATAATCCAACACTAAAAAAACAAAGATTCTACCACTCTCCAGTGGGCAGCCTTCCTCTGGGAGACAGTGTCCTCTTTGGGGTTCTTCTTCTATGGTCTGGGAAACCAGGGAGTTTTTCCCTAAAGAAGTCTGTATTTCACATTCACCTCCTCCAGGAAATCCTCTCTGACTCCCAGCTAGATCAAGGAACCTGTTACTGGTTCCTAAAGCTCCCTTGGCTTCTCCTTCCTGTCATTTACTGTGATCACTGGTGAATGTGGCCTCCTCTGTCCGACCGGGAACTCCATGAGGACCAGGGTGACCTTCATGGGTTATCATTATCAAGATTTAGTGGCACGCCTGGTACACAGTTGGTGCTCTAGAAATGTTTGTGATTGAGTGAATGAATAAAATGAATGACACACACTGGCTTCTGGTCCTGGTTCCATCACGTTCCGGCTGAGTGATCCTGGGCAAGTCGCCTGACTTTCAAGAGTCTCTACATCGACCTCAGAGAGCAGCCAGGAGAGTAAATGGCGCAACAGCCATGGAAGTACTTTATGAAGTGGCACCCGGATTGGCGCCTCCCCTCTTTCCAACCACTCAAGCACAAGCTCTGGCACATCCTGTTGCCTCTCTTTCCCTCACTCCCTGCCCATTTTCAAGTCATCAGCAGCGGTTCTTGCGGGACCTTCACAAAGTATGAAGCTGATGCGCACCCTGAACACCCCCCACTACGGGCTGAGCCACGGTGGTCTCCTGCCTGGAGTAGTCATGTCTTCTCTGGTTTCCTGCCTCTGCCCTTGCTCCTGACTCAGAAGCCACAGGACTCAGGTCAGAACACAAGTCAGAACCCCAGCCCTCTGCTTGAAACCTCACATACTAAAAGCTGGCGGCTCCACAGGCACCCCACCCCCGAGCCCCCATTCTCCCCTGTACTCTCCGCTCGCTCCCTGAGTTATGCTGGTTTTCCTGCTGGTTTCCCAAATATGCCAGGCGTGCTCCTGCTTCATGGGTGTTGCACAAGCTTTTCTGCCTGGAATGTCAGCCACCTAGATGTCCCGAAGCACCCCTCCCCCCACTTTCTTCAGATGGTTGCTGAGACTTGGCCTCGTTAACCAGAGGTGGTTTTAGCCTAATGGTGAAGACTCTTAACTGAAGAGCATGGCCATGAGGTAAAATCCTGGTAAAAATGTCAGTTACAGCCCTCCCTGGTGGCGCAGCGGGTTAAAGCACAGCACTGAGAATATAAAGCCGCTTCCGCATGAGTTCGAACCCCGCCTGCCCCGGAGGTGACCACATGGCTTGGGAGACCTCTCCTGACCCGCCCGCTGCTCCCCTCAGCAATGTACTTCGTCGATCTGCCTGTTCTGCTCCCCACTCTGTCTCTGATGAAGCCTCTCAACCTCCGCATCTCTGGCCTGCACCCCAGTTCTGAATGCACAAATAAATAAATCTTTAAAAAAAAAAAAAGTCAGTTACATAGCTGTGTGATCTTGGGCAAGTTTCTTAACTTCCCTGTGACTCAGTTATCTCCCAGAGGGGAGTCACTCCAAGTCCTTCTCATATGTGGTTGTGAGGCTTCCATAAATTCAGTGAGTGTAAACTCTGCATCTGCTGCCTGCACTGCTCCCCAGCCATGCAAGCCAACACCCAGTGCCTGGCTCTCCCTGCTGAGTGCTCTCCTGGGTGGGCCTGGAGCACTGCATATGAAACAGGGTACGGAAATAAGCAGGTTACTCTGATTACTGCCTGCCCCCCTCAAAAAGATGCCAGCTCCACCAGCCAGAGCTTTGTCTCTTGGGCTTAACGCCAGATGCCCGGTGCCCAGAATGGCATGTGGTATGGGGAGGTACTTAGTGAGCACTTCACTCAACAAATATTTTCAGTCCTGAATCAGTATTGATTGCCTAATTGTCACAAGCTCTGGGTTTCCTCTCCTTACCTGTCACAGACATTCTCTCTCCAGCCAGCTTGCTCCTCTGAGCTCCATGTTTGACAGCCAAATTCCCACTGGCAGCTCTACTTTCTGCCTGGTGGACACCTCACACTCTGTGTCCAGGCTCCAGTGTGGGGCATTCCCCAGAGACTTTTCCCTTTTCAGCTTTCTGTAACCTGGTACCTGGAATCAGGTCACCCTCTTTGTTAACCATGAGGTCAGCAGGCAACCATGTCCCTTCCTTCTCACTCCCTCGCCCATAAAACTCAAGACCATGTCCTGTGTTGTTGTTGTTTTTTTAAACTTCCTAAACCCCTTTCAAATCCCCTCTTTTTAATTTTTTTAAAAAAGATTTATTTATTTATACATACAAGAACTGGGGTACAGGCCAGAGGTGCAGAGGTAAGAGGATTCACCAGAGACAGAATGGGGAGCAAAACAGGTGAATCTACTGAAATGCACTGCTGAGGGGAGCAGCAGGCGAGACAGGAGAGGTCTGTTGTACCCTGTGGGTCAGCTCCTTGGCTGGCATCAAATGGTGCTGCAGTGGCTATGGAGAGCTTCATAGTGCTGTGCTTTAACCCCTTGCACCACCAGGGAGGAACCTCAAATCCTCTCCTTTTCACCCCAGTTTTCCTCTGACTGGGCCACCAGGACCCCACCTCATGCCACACGCTGGCCTCCTCTCAGTTCCCTGCTGCCTTGCTGGGTCCAGTTTCCAGCCAGGAGGGTCTTCTCAAAGCTCGTGTGGAACAAACAAAAGCCTCACTCTGTGAGCTGGTAAAGTCAAAATCCTCACTGACTAGGAAAACAAACCAACAGGGGTTTTTCAAAAGAATTCAACTCTGGGCTCCCTAACGCTGCCACCCCAGGCCCAAGCAAAATGGTATTTGTTGCACAAAGATTTAATTTACAGAACGGATTTACACAGAACCTTTTAGCTCAATAAATATTTGTGAAGTTGAATTGAAATGGAGAAATGGTTTTAAATAATACCATTTATGGAGTGCC